ACCCCGCCCCTGCTCTCTTTTTCTCTCTCTCTCTGTCAGTCTGTCTGTCTGTCTGTCTGTCTGTCTGTCTGTCTGTCTGTCTGTCTCTCTCTCTCTCTCTCTCTCTCTCTCTCTCTCTCTCTTTCTCTCTTTCTCTCTCACTCTCTCCTCACGCTCTCTCTCTCCTCACTCTCTATCTATCTATCTATCTATCTATCTATCTATCTATCTATCTATCTATCTATCTATCTATCTATCTATCTAATCTATCTATCTCTTGTCACAAAACAAAATCACCGAGGACAAAAAAGCCACAAAGCAAACATGTCACGGTACTAAACAAAAGCTTTAAGGACAAAATCGACAACGAACAAATAAAAATAATAGTGTGTCGCAAAAATCGGCAGACGTATGGAAGAAATTGTCTTTATTTTCTTTTTAAACATAATTCTCCAGACCTTGCTTAGAGTGTCAAAAGACGTCTTTATCACGCCAGAAGAAAGTATAGCTAGAGGTCGACAACCCTGCCACACCGGTTAAGACGGTCGACGTTGCTGCTGTTGACCTTTGAGTGACATGGAGGGATTACGACCTGAATTGACGAGTAAATTGGAAACAAAATCCACAACTTACAATTTTGTAAATGAACATCAATTTTTTTTGGGTTATGTTCAAGTCTGTGTTTTTATTATTCCTTGACATAATGTGGTATCACGCTGGCTAGTACATTCTGAATTATTATACAGGCTCGTAATTCTTTGTTACCTCATAATTCCAGTTCTTTCTGCGCAGTTCCTAGATTCGAGAAATAAAATTGTCATTTTTTTTATAGTAGAGGGTTTTGCGGCGCTGGCAACTGCATAAGGTCATATGAGCGCCAAAAAGTGAAATTTAAAAAATTATTATGATATTTCACAACATGTCGAGGTTTTTTTAATGTAATTCTTTGAATAATGTCATGGTGACAACTCCGTATAATCTTACGATTTTGATATACGGCAGATATAAAATAATTTTGTTTCTGACCTAGAGGTCTTGGTAACTCAAAACAACGAAAAATGTCAGGTTGCACGCAGCAGGTTTTTGTTGTTGTTGTTTTTTTTCTTTTATTCTTTCTTTTTAATTTTTTAAAACTTTTAATGGTATGTTTTATTTTTTTATTTTTTTTTTGGGGGGGGGGGGCGGGTGGCCTTATTAAGGCTCTCCTTCAAAAGTCTGGCTCGGTCCTATTGGCCCTTGATGTTATGTTTTATACTAATATTTTAAATAATATTAAAAATAACAAAAAAAATAACAACAATAATAATAATAATAATAATAATAATAATAATAATAATAATAATAATAATAGTAATAATAATATAATAATAATAATAATAATAATGATACTACTACTACTAATAACGATAACAATAATGCGACGGAGACACACACACATGCAGACAGTCAAACAAACAGACAAACAAACAGATCAATTTACCAATAATAATAATAATAATAATAAATGCAACCACTCACCAAACTGGATTATTGAAATATTCAAATCCTCCCCTCAGGCAATGTCACAAGTGAGCAGCAAAGGTTTCCATAACTGGACTGATAGAGAGAGAGAGAGAGAGAGAGAGAGAGAGAGGGGGAGGGGGGCAAAGAGGGAGAGAGAAAGGGAGAGAGACAGTCGGACAGACAGACAATCAGACAGACAGAAAGAGAGAGAGAGAGAGAGAGAGAGAGAGAGAGAGAGAGAGAGAGAGAGAGAGAGAGAGAGAGAGAGAGAGAGAGACAGACAGAAAGAGAGAGACAGACAGACTGACAGACAGAGAGATCAATTTACCAATACTAATAATTATTCAACCACTCACCAAACTGGATTATTAAAATATTCAAAACCTCCCCTCAGGCAATGTCACAAGTGAGCAGCAAGGGTTTCCATAACTGGCCTGGAGGACATGTGTGCACAAACGCCTCCTGCAGTGGGTTGCATTGGATGTACTTTGTGACGTCAGTAGGGTGAGAGTAATAGACAAGCACTCCCCCGCATGGGTTTGGCAGGGAGCAGTCGACCTGGCCTGGGAGGGAATGGGGTGGGGGGGGGGGGGTAACAACAAACATTGTTATCGGTTGTGTTGTTGCTTCTGTTGTTGTTGTTGTTGTTGGAGGTGTTGTTGTTGTTGTTGTTATTGTTGTGGTTGGGTGGTTTTGGTTGCTGTTGTTGTGGTTATTGTTGTGGTTTTGGTGGTTGTGGTTATTGTTGTTGGTGTTTTTGTTGTTGTGGCGGTGGTTGTGGTGGTAGTGGTGGTGGTGGTGGTGGTTGTGGTTTTGGTTGTGGTGGTTGTGGTTGTGGTTATTGTTGTTGTTGCTATTGTTATTGGTGGTGGTGGTTGTAGTTGTTGTCGTAAAGGTGGTAGTGCTAGTGGTTGTTATGGTTGTTGTTGCTGTTGTTGTGATTGTTATTATTGTTGTTGTTGTTGTTGTTCTTGTTGTTGTGGTTGTTGTTGTTGTTGTGCGGTGGTGGTGGTGGTGGATTTGCTGTTGTCGTGGTGGTGGTTGTAGTTGTGATTGTGGTTGTGGTTGTGGAGGTGGTTGTGGTTGTTGTTGTTGTTGCTGTTGTGGTGATTGAAATTGTTTGTTTTTTGTTGAGGTGGTGGTTGTTTTTGTGTTTGTGGTTGTTGTTTTTCTTGTTGTTGTGGTGAAGTTGAGGTTGTTGTTGTTGTAATGGTGGTGGTGGTTGTGGTTGTTATGGTTGTTGTTGTTGTTGTTGGTGGTGGTGTTGTTGTTGCTGCTGCTGGTATTGTTGTTGTTGTTGTTGCTGTTGTTCGTTGTTGTAGTTTGTTGTAGTGGTTGTGATGGTGGTGGTTGTTGTTGTTGTTGTTGTTGTTGTTGTTATTGTTTGTAATGCTATGGCTGCTTTTCTGGTTGTTGTTGTTGTTGTTGTTTCCTTTTTTGTTGTGGTTGTTGTGGTTGTGGCTATTGTAGTTGTTGCTGTTCTTGTGATTGTTCTCTTTCTTCTTCTTCTTCTTCTTCTTTTTCTTCTTCTTCTTCTTCTTCTTCTTCTTCTTCTTCTTCTTCTTCTTCTTCTTCTTCTTCTTCTTCTTCTTCTTCTTCTTCTCCTTCTTCTTCTTCTTTTTATTATCATTACTATCATTATTATCATTATCAATATTATAATTATCATTATTATTATTATTATTATTATTATTATTATTATTATTATTATTATTATCAAGGCTTTTGTGTTTTTCAAATATGTTTCTTGAATGTGATTAGAGAGATCAAGAGCTTTAAAATGCTATTTATTATTGTTACTATCATTACTATTATTATCAATATTTTCATGATCTTTATCATCATTAGTAGTAGTAGTAGTAGTAGTAGTAGTAGTAGTAGTAGTAGTAGTAGTAGTAGTAGTAGTAGTATCATTATTTGTATTTATAATATTACTTTTATTATTGTCATTATCATTATTAGTATTATAATCATAAATAACATTTTTTATTATTGTTACTACTACTATTATTATTTCTTAATCAATTATCATATTATAGTATCATTTTTAGTGTTAGTAATGTTTTTCTTTTTTTATATTATAATTAGAATTATTTTCATTATTACCTTTGTTTATATCCAGGATGAGGCAGGTGTACATACAGCTCTTGACGGCTTGCATCCAGGACTTTCCGGCTGGGCAAGGCACCACGTTCATCTTTCCAGGTACGTTTGTACAGTTGATGTACATGGTGCTGGGGACGAGGTCAGTACAAAGGCTGACGAAACGATTTTTTTTTTCATGTTGACGACATTCTCTTTTCTGTTTTGTTTCTTTTCCTTTGTCTTGATTTTTTTGTTTTGGCCAAATTTCTCATTTTTGGCAAATTTGTCTAAAAAATCAACATGCTTTGCTTTTCCGTGAGGCAGATCTTTTTTCGCCATATTAAAAAAAAATTATTGTGAAGATCTGACTGTAAGTTAAGTTATTAATTATACCGATCCTCACATCAAAAAAGAATTATGTGACATAGAAAAATACGCCGTCACAGAAAAGCAAAACAAACTCGATTTTTTTTTTTTAGAATAAAAAATGTGGCATAAGGGTTTCTTTTAACTGAACCATCCAGGGTGGTTTGTGGGCGCTCTGCTGTGATCTCTTACTTCTTTCCTATCAAACATCTATCGTCCTTATCTCTCCTCCTTCTATTTTATATTTGTTACTCCCTTGTAACACATCCAATCTTCGACACTTACATTGCATATAACCTTATTGTGTTGCAAATGCCGTAAAACTCTTACAACCCCCCCCCCAAAAAAAAAAAAAAAAAAACTGAATCGGCGCTGATGTGTGGTGAATATTGCGTCAAATGAGAATAAATATTGTTACGTTTTGGTTGTCATTTGACCTTATCATTGCAAGCCCGAGAACTGAGTTATAGAGTATGGGGGTGGGGGTGAGTAGTATGGGGGTGGGGTGAAGG